CAAGCCGACAAACAGCTAATCAGCTGTTTGTCGGCTCAGCGTGGCAGCCATATAAATGTAAATGAAGCCGCGATCATTTAAATCGCGGCTTCATTTACCTTTGCTGAATAAACAAATCTACATGCCTCTGCCGACAGAGGCATGTAGTGTAGACGTACCCCTAGTGCCCAAGCTCGAGGTCCCATTGTGCTAGGTGCTGTACAAACAGAGCAGCAGACAGCTCTTGCCCTAAGGAGACCAGACACAGGTGTAGGATGAGGATGGTAAGGACTAGCCGATAAGCATTTGCTTATCGCAGTTGTCACCAACCAGTCGATCGGGATCTACCAGTCGATCGGGATCTACCAGTAGATCCTGGCGCCTCTGACAGGTTTGGCCAGGAAGCTATCAAGCGCTGGCCCTTCAGTTGTGCCTCCCCCCACTGTCATGCTGCTCCTGCCCGCTGCCTTCGAGCTGCTCCTGGGGAGTCTCCTGCTTGCTGTGCAGGGTGTGGGAGGGAGAAGAGGGGGGCGCTGATGTCAGGATGTCCCTCCTCCCCCACTCCTGTACCTTGTCTCCACATAGAGAAGGGGCTGGGGGGAGCTTGGCAATGAAAATCTCTGTCACTTTCACACACTGTGTCTCTCTGTCATTCTCACAAACACACACACAGTCCTTCCCTCTCAGCTCCCGCCCCAACACGTAGGTGGGGGGTTGTGGCTACCTTTACTGCTTGCAAAGTGGGTTCTTTTTGGGTTGTGACTGGTGAGTGCATTTCACCACTTGCATTTCTCTCTTACACTGAAATGGAATTCTTTGAGTAGCAAGTTCTAAAATGCCTGACCTGTCGGCTGTCGTAATTATCCCTGGGTGTTGCTCCTGGGTGTGGCTAGCATGTTCCTGCAGCCCCTGAGAAAGGCAGAGCAGGGGGTCTTCACCGGCTGCCCCTGCCTGCAAACACCGCGCCTGCAGCTCCCACTGATCAATATCGGAGAACTGTGGCCAGTAGATAGGGTCAGTGCCTGAATAGGAGGGGCAGCACGTGGTGCCGTGGAGCCAGTGCTGTACATACCGGCTGCTCTCAGGAGTGGCGCAGGGCCAGGGCAGGGGTAAGCCTGCCCTAACTCCACTGCTCCATCCCTGTCTAGCAGCTCTCAGGGTGGGTGGGACTTGAACCCACAACCCTGCCCCCCAGGTAAACGCCCTATCCCCTCAGCCAGTGTTTCCCAAATGGCGTTCTGTGGAACCCTGGGGTTCTGAAGTGAAGATAAGAGTTCTGTGAGAAAATTCCATTACAATAACATGTTATGATTTAAATAATAATAATAATATTTGAGCATTTATGAATTTTATTGAAAACAATTTTCATTTGTGTTTGCCACGATAAATGTCCCTGTGTAACGCCGGCTTAGCCAGAGAGTGGGGACGATGTCACTACTCAGTGCTGATGTCCATATATTAGACTGTTATTGGGGGGCCACAAAATTCTTTTGAGTTTAAAAGGGTTCTGTGTCCAAATAAAATTGGGAAACACTGCTCTAGGCACTGCAGAACCCCCCCACTGCACTGCAGAACCCACCCACTGCCTACCTTCAGAGGGGCCCTAATCCTGCAGAACCCACCCACTGCCTACCTTCAGAGGGGCCCTAATCCTGCAGAACCCACCCACTGCCTACCTTCAGAGGGGCCCTAATCCTGCAGAACCCACCCACTGCCTACCTTCAGAGGGGCCCTAATCCTGCAGAACCCACCCACTGCCTACCTTCAGAGGGGCCCTAATCCTGCAGAACCCACCCACTGCCTACCTTCAGAGGGGCCCTAATCCTGCAGAACCCACCCACTGCCTACCTTCAGAGGGGCCCTAATCCTGCAGAACCCACCCACTGCCTACCTTCAGAGGGGCCCTAATCCTGCAGAACCCACCCACTGCCTACCTTCAGAGGGGCCCTAATCCTGCAGAACCCACCCACTGCCTACCTTCAGAGGGGCCCTAATCCTGCAGAACCCACCCACTGCCTACCTTCAGAGGGGCCCTAATCCTGCAGAACCCACCCACTGCCTACCTTCAGAGGGGCCCTAATCCCGCAGAACCCCCCCCCCCCACTGCCCCCCTGCAGAGGGGCCCTTATCCTGCTTCCCACCACCCAGTGCTCCAGGGGATGGTGCCCTATCCCCCACTTCACTGGACATCCCACCCCACCTCTCTACCTTCAGCAGGTCTCTTTTCCTGCTTTACAAATGCAGGAACCAGCTGTCCAGCTGCTCCTAGGGTAGGTGGGACTGGAACCCACTACCCTGCACTCCCCAGGCATGTGCCTTGTCCACCCCACCGCCCTAGCTTCAGGGTGTCCCTTCCCCTCCCTGTCTAAGGCAGGAGCCAGCTGCATCCCTTGGGCTACTGGTGTGTCTGCTAGGCTGCTGCTTTGGTGGGTGGGGACCAAGGGGACCTGAGTCTGCAGAGGCTGATCCCCTATCCCTGAGTTCACTGGTGATCCCACTCTACCTCCCTGCCATCAGGGTGTCCCTTATCCTGCTTTACCAAATGCAGGAGCCAGCTCCATCCCTGGGATAGCCTCTGGTGGCTCCCAGAGTGGGCAGGGGCTCCAACCCACCACCCTGCACTCCCCAGGCAAATGGCCTATCCCCTAGGCCCTCCCCTCCCACCCCACACTTTGAATCCCTTGGCCCAAGACCAGAGCCTGCACCCCAACCCCCTCCCCCAGCCTGGTGAAAGTGAATGAGATTCGGGGAGGAAGGGGGTGGAGTGAGCAGGATGAGGCCTTGGAGAAGGGGTGGAGCAGGGGCAGGACTCAGAGAAGGGGGGGAAGGAAGCAGGGCAAAGGGTATTTGCATGTATATTGAAAGAGTGATCTTGTGGTTAAAAAGGTTGGAGACCACGGGCTTATCGGATAGTCCGTCAACTAGTCGATTCCCCCCCTCCCGTGCTGCCTCTACGAGACAGATGCAGCCAAGGGCGGGTGAGGGTACTTCAAAGCAACTCGGATCAGCTGTGTGGTGCTGCCGCTTTGAAACCCCAAGGCAGCCGACCTCAGGCACTGCGCAGCATAGAGCCTGGGCTCCATGGCTTTGAAATGCACAGGAGCCCTCGCGGGGGACTCCTGTGCATTTAAAAGCAGGCACCCGCGTGCAGCCCAGAGTCAGTGGAACTTCCCGCTGGCCCCAGGCTGTACGCGGAGTTCCGCATTCCTCCTTTGAAACATACCAGAGCCCCAGCGGCAATTTAACATCCTTAGTGCAGGACGGGCTAGAACCCAGGAGCAGAGTGAACCATGCGGTGGGAGCCAAGGGCAGGCTGGTGCCAGTGTCTGTGTTTCGTTAGGAGAAGGATCCGCTACCTTGAAAGGCCAAGGGAAGGGAAGAGGGAGGTGGAGGCAGGGGAGAAGAGGAGGGTGAGAGGGGCAAGTGTGGAGCAAAACTGAGGAGATGAAAGTGGGGGCCAAGGGGCTGGAGTGAAACAGCCGGCCAGCAACTTACTGTCTGCACCATCAATGCCGTTGCAAAGCTTTCTGGTGTCACTGGGGACTGCAGGTTCCTACTCCAGCTGCTTCAACAGCTGCTCTATCAGCCGGGTGTGAGGAGTTTCTAAGCTCAACTCCCTAGTCTGTGCCCGACTTCCTTGTATGTCCTGGGGGGACACAGTACTTCCCGGGTGTGGCGTGAGGACGGGCAGACTGGAGAGGAGGTAAGGGCCTAACAGGTGTACAAGGGATGCACGTACTGATGAGAGAGCTAGGGAACCAGAGAAGCAGGAAACTAGTGCAACCCAGATAGGTACCCAAGTCCCATGACAGCTGTGCAGGTGTCCCCTGCCATACCCCTCCACCCCAAGAGTCCCGTTGCATAGACATGGGGGTTATAGGAGTTGGTATGGGGCGGGGGGCAGATGGATTTTCACATTAAAAACATCACAACACACATATTTTAAAGCCACGATTTACAACCATTAACCTCTTTCAACCTTCACCCCACTCTTGGGCGACATCACCACTGTCACGCCCACAGGGGAAAGTGAGGCAGGAATGGATGAGGGCAACAGGCGATTGTGAGCATCCACTGGGAGGCACCCAATTTTCAGAGGTGGATGCTCGCACCTGTTGAATGTCAGGCCCATGTAAGACATCTCTGGTTGGATGTTCAAAGCCACAAGCCACGTTTTAAAACTCCTGATCTACGTAACGTGCTCAGGTCGCCAGAGACAAAGGGCCAGATTCGCACCGGACCTGCGGCGACGGGACCCAGCGGGTAGGCACTGGATTCACAAAGGCGGAGTTTGGCCGCCGGGACCCCAGAACCAAGACTGGGGAGAGGTCGTGTCTCAGCATGGGATTCCTAGAAGCACACTAGGCCGAAAATGGCCCATGGGAGGTGCTAAGGCAAGAGGTGTGTGAAGCCCCGCCCCACTATTGGAAGTGGGCCCCTCCCTCTTCTTGGGTTCTCCACAGCAAGCTCCGTCGGGGTGAAGCGCCTCTGTCATCTCAGCAAGAAGCCGAGGCTGGGAGAGGACCTCTATCATAGCCCAGTGGTTAGAGTACTCTCCTGGGGCACCCCAGTTCAAGCCCATGGGGGGGGGGGTTTGAACCAGGATCTGCGGTCTCTCAGGGGAATGCCTTTTGATACGGTCTCCCACAATATTCTTGCCAGAAGTATGGATTGGATAAGTGGACTGTAAGATGGATAGAAAGCTGGCTACACTGTCTAGCCCAATGGATAGTGATCAAAGTCAGAATGGCGGTCGGTTTCTAGCGGAGCGCCCCAAGGATCGGTTCTAGGGCTGGTTTTGTTCAACATCTTTATGAATGACCTGGATGAGGGGATGGATTGCACCCTCAGCAAGTTTGCAGATGATACAGAGTTAGGGGGAGAGGTAGATACGCTGGAGGGCAGGGATAGGGGTCCAGAGTGATCTGGACAGATCAGAGGATTGGGCCAAAAGAAATCTGATGATGTTCAACAAGGACAAGTGCAGAGTCCTGCACTTGGGATGGAAGAATCCCAAGTATTGTTACAGGCTGGGGACTGACTGGCTAAGTAGCAGTTCTGCAGAAAAGGACCTGGGGGTTACAGTGGATAAGAAGCTGGATGAGAGTCAACAGTGTGTCCTTGTAGCCAAGAAGGCTAAGGGCATATTAGGGGGCATTAGGAGCAGCATTGCCAGCAGATCCAGAGATGTCATTATTCCCCTTTATTTGGCTCTGGTGAGGCCAGATCTGGAGAAGTGTGCCCAGTTCTGGGCCCCCCACTATCGAAAGGATGCGGACACATTGGAGAGGGTCCAGCGGAGGGCAACCAAAATGATTAGGGGGCTGGAGCACATGACCTATGAGAAGAGACTGAGGGATTTGGGCTTCTTTAGTCTGCAGAAGAGAAGAGTGAGGGGGCATTTGATAGCAGCTTTCAACAGCTTTTAACTTCCTGAAAAGGGGTTGCAAAGAGGCTGGAGAGAGGCTGTTCTCAGTAGTGACGGATGCAGAACAAGGAGCAATGGGCTCAAGTAACAGCGGGGGAGGTCTAGGTTGGATATTATGAAAAACTATTTCTCTAGCAGGGTGTGAGGCCTGGGATGGGTTCCTTAGGGAGGTGATGGAATCTCCATCCTTAAAAACCTCTAAGTCTCTGGCTGGGTTGATTTAGTTGGGTTGGTCCAGCTTTGGGCAGGGGGCTGGACTCGATGACTCCTGAGGTCTCTTCCAGCCCTGGGGTTCTGTGATTCTGTGCCCTAGCCAATGAGTTATAGGATAGTCTGACCCGAGGTGCCCTTATCCCTCCCCACTGAGACTGCTCTATGGCCCGCCCACCCCACTTTGCCTTTCATCCCGGACCTAGTGGTTCTCTCCCGCCCCAGTAGTGAGCAAAGGGCTTGGTGGAACAGGCCATTTCTGGGGCTGGGGGAGGATTTGGCTTAGCGAGATTCCCCACAGTTCATTGCTCACTGCCAGGAAACCAGGGGACTTATCGGAAAGCCAAAGCCATTTCATTCAAATCTGATCTCCCAGCCTCCCGCTGTTTTTGGCTGCACTGCCCAGGGGAGAGCGTGACGGTCGCTGCCAGCCCCGGAGCCCGGCACCGGACCCTACGGAGCACTTTGCAGCTGGCTCAGCATTCCAAAGCAGAACTCGCCTCTTCGCCATGTAGAGACACCGTCGAATCAGTGGAACTCTCCGCCTGTTGAGAGCGTCCGAGCCAAACGGGAACAGCTGCTGCACGGCGCAGGCACGGTCAGTGGGAGCGGCTTGTGAGAGCAGACGCATGAAGGACTTGGGCCCAGATCTTTAGCTGGTGTGAATTAGCTTATATGCCAGCTGGGCACAGAGCCTTGTCAAGCACACGACCAGACGCCTGGGTTCCACAGCCTAGGTTTGTACCATGACTAGCACAACAGGGCCTTGATATTGGACAGCCCCTAGGCACTATGACGAACAATAAGTCCACTCTTTTCCTCTCTGCCTTAAGCAACCATGTAACCCTATGCCAGGTGGGTATTTTCCCCAGTTGTACATGTGGGGAAACTGAGGCACGGAGTAGCCGCATGTTGGCCAAGGTTTCTAGTGAGAAAGCACTAGACCGGGCTCCTCTATTTAGCGCAAACAGAACAGAAAACACGACTCTGCCCAGTTGTTAGCCTGTCTGTGCAGTCCCAGGGAACCGCATCGCAGCTGGGTTCTGATCATTCGTCACTCTGCAATAAGTGTGAGGACACGGGGAGTGGGGAGATCCTATCTCCTCCGGTGATCATCGGCAGGTGAAGGAGCCCTGCCTTTCCCCAGGCACAGCCAGACCCATGTATTGGGACAGGTGCTGGGACGCTATGGGGATGAGAACCACACTAGCACCTGTCTAGTTAGAAGAGGCTTACGGTCCTTTGCTGCCTCAGGTTCTGGTCCTTGGCAAAGGCGGGACCCCAGACTCGAAGACGGGATGGCCCGGTTGCATTTGTGGCTGTACACGGCTGGGCACGGTGGGGCCCCTAGGAGCGGCCGCCA